CACACCGACCCTCACCGAGTCACAGTACCGATTCACGCCATCGATCGGGCTCGGATGAATAAGGAGGGTACAGCGACGGATTGCCCGGTACTGATCTACGGGAAAATACAGGGAGCAGCAGTGAAGATCTTTATTGACGGAGGAGCGAGCCACAGATTAGTTAATACTGCAACCGCACGGAAATTACAGTTAACACTTAACCGATGCTTACCTGAGATAGATGCACGCTTAGTCGACGGCACGCCCCTGGCCATACGGGAAAAGGTGGAGCGAGTAAAAGTCCGCTGCGGGGGGAACTTCGGGTTTACACAGGAAATGCTCGCGACGACACTGGATGGGCACGACATTTTATTAGGACGTGATTGGCTGCGACGGTACAAACCACGGATCGACTGGACGACGGGGAGCTGCACAGTGCGAAGTAGTGGTAACTGGGTCGTTCTACCTCGCTGGCAGCCACCCAAATCTTCGACGGTCCAGGTCAACGCCGTCACAATGAAACGGGCTGTCGCTACTGGAGCTGACGTGTACGCAGTGGACACCGCGCTAGTAGAAAAAGAGGAGCAGCCGAGTGATTTAGAGAAATTGTTGGCACCCGTACCGACCGAACTACAGGCACTACTGAAACGGTTCCGAAAGATATTTCCGGACGATTTACCACCGGGACTGCCACCTCAGCGGGCGCACGACCATAGGATCGAGTTAGAACCAGGGGCACAGCCAACTGTACAGCGGCAATTTCGACTGACACAACTCGAGCTCGACGAGTTAAGGAAGCAGTTAGATTACCTGTTAGAGAAGCAGTTTATCCGACCGAGCTCGTCACAGTTCGCCGCACCGATACTGTTCACACTGAAAAAAGACGGAGGGTTCCGCATGTGCATCGATTACCGAGCGCTTAACAGGGTAACAATCAAATCGCGATACCCCATTCCCCGCGCCGACGAATTAATCGACCAACTACGAACAGCACGAGTCTTTTCGAAAATAGATTTACGGGGAGGTCACCATCAGATTCGGGTCGAACCATCGGACTGCGCCAAAACAGCATTTACGACTAGGTACGGATCATTCGAGTATACAGTAATGCCATTCGGGCTGACGAACGCGCCTGCGACTTTTCAGATGACCATGAACGAGGCGTTTAGGCCACTTTTAGATAAATGCGTGATAGTTTACCTCGACGATATCCTCGTTTACAGTCGGGATAAGCAGCAACACTTAGCAGATCTTGAAGCAGTTTTTTAGGTTTTAGAGGAACATCGGCTACTCACCAAAGGCTCCAAGTGCGAGTTTTTTAAGGATAGGCTAGATTTTTTAGGTCACGTTATTTCGGAGGCTGGGGTTGAGATTGACCCAAAGAAGCTGGATACGGTAAAGGCGTGGCGTCCCCCGACGAACATCACGGAACTACGGAGTTTTTTAGGGTTTGTTAATTACGTTAGACGGTTCGTGCCCGACATGGCACGTTTAACAGCCCCACTCACTGATTTAATTCGTAAGGGGGTCGCTTTTACGTGGGGGGAGAAAGAGCATGCTGCCTTCTCTGCCCTGAAAAACGTTCTCTGTTCACCACCCGTTCTACGCATCGCTGATCCCCACCGCCCTTCCGAAGTGGTTACCGACGCAAGTGACATCGCCATCGGAGCTGTACTGTTACAGGACTTCGGCGACGGCCTCCAACCCATCGCCTACGAATCACGCAAACTACATCCGCCTGAGCGAAATTACCCGATACACGACCGCGAAATGCTCGCGATCGTGCACGCGTTCAAAGTGTGGCGCTGCTACTTGACCGGCGCAGACGTGACAGTACGGACAGACCATCGATCTCTACAGTACCTCCGCGCACAGCCCCACCTCAACCCACGGCAAATTCGATGGCTCGATTTCCTCGAGTCGAATTTTCACTATACGGTCACATACAAAAAAGGAGCCTCGAATATCGCCGACGCACTGACTCGCCCCACTGCCCAGATCCACGCAATACTACTCGCCCAGACCAGCCCGCTACTGACAGGCCTATTTACCCACGGATATCAAACAGACCCGTTCTTTACAGGAGGCAACTCACAGCAATTCGCAGCGGCAAAAGGAGTCTATTACGTAAAAGCTGGAACCGACCGCATCTGGGTACCAGGATACACGCTACTACGGGAACTACTGTTACAGGAAGCACACGACGGAGTTACCTCGGGACATTTTGGGGTAGAAAAAACACGGCAGCAGCTGCAGCGGTACTACTACTGGCCAGAAATGTTGACCGATGTGCAACGACACATGGCATCGTGCCCCACTTGCCAGCTCATGAAGTCAAGCAGGAAACGACCGGCGGGACAATTACAACCCATCCCGCCCCCAGAGCGTGCTTGGCAGCAGGTGACGATGGATTTCGTCGCGGGGTTACCAGCTGGGGCGAGTGGGAATGACGCGATCCTGGTCGTCGTCGATCGACTAACAAAGATGGCTCATTTCGCAGCATGCAGGAAATCAATCACAGCCGAGGAAACCGCCCGACTCTTCATCACCACCGTCGTTCGACTGCACGGGATACCCGCATCGATCATCAGTGACCGAGACACGAAATTTACAAGCAACTTCTGGCGGAACCTGTGGCAGCAGTTCGGCACGCGCTTACAATTCAGTTCATCCTATCACCCCGAAACCGACGGACAGACGGAACGGACAAATCAGACCATGGAGCAGCTGATTCGAGCCACGTGCGACGATCCGAATACGTGGGAACAGCAGCTGCCACTCATCGAGTTCGCATACAATAACGCACCATCAGCCACGACGCAACAGTCGCCGTTTTACTTGAATTACGGACAGGACCCAACAGTACCCATGACACCGAATCCCGACAACCCCGTCCCACGAGCACAACAGTTCGCCGAGATTCTGCAAGCAGCACGGACCAGGGCAGCAGAAGCAATCAAAAAATCAAACATCATCGCTAAACGCAACGCCGATCGCCATCGCAGACCCGTTACTTATCAGCCCGACGACCTCGTTCTACTCGATACTCAGAACCTCCGCCTGCCCATCACTCCAAAACTTCGCCCCCGATATTGTGGGCCATTTCGCATCAGCCACATGATCACACCCGTCACCGCCCACCTCCTCCTCCCTGCTGACTGGTACATCAGCCCGTCATTCCACGTCAGCCTACTTCGCCCTTACATCCCATCCACGAGCCAACTGCCACGAAATCGCCCAGCCAGCATGACACGCCCCCCACCCGAACCAATCATCACCCCTGAAAAAATCCTCAGCCACCGAGTCCGGGACCCTCGGGGAGCCCGAAGGATCGAGTTCCTAATTCGCTGGAAGGACCGAACGCCCACAGAAGACAACTGGGTCTCCCTGGATAAAATCGAGAACCACCCTGTCTTTACCGAGTACCTGCGAAGCCGAAATTTCCGCGACGTCCATGCGCTCTCGTAAGAGGGGCCTCCTTGGGGAGAGGGGTAGTGTAAGGAAAATTCCTTTTCCTTACTTCGCATCCCTGCTCAACGCGTACATCACTGTAGCACCTCAGTCAGCACCGTTACCACTCGCGACCATCGCATCATTTCATCATCCCGCCCTTTTCGCACATCGCATCCCGACCTCACGGCTCGGCTGGTAACCCGCGCTCCGGGCCTACGCTTCGAGACTTTCCCAACCTCAGTCCCAGGCTCGTCGCGCGACCATTACCGTTACCACTGTAGTTTCGCTATATATTCTTCGCTCATGCCTTCGCTCATTGTACTCTTGCTTCGATAGTGCAATTCTCGTTCGTTCACTCAATTGCACTCGTAACAGCTGTCAACAAGCCACCTAGAACATTGCTAACTTCACTATCCTTCTTCACCCTTTTCAATTTACTCTCGAATGAATCTCAACCGTTAGGCTGATAATTAGTAGCTTTGTTTATCATATACTATGGATATTAAACAGCGACGCATATTGGAGCGAAATTAATGTGCTTTCACATAAACATTTTATCACTGTCCTCACCAATAATTTACTCACCATGTGCAGGGGAAACACACTCGGGTATTGCGCTACGGGGACAGTTTTGTGGTTTGAGGGCGAGGAGACAAACTAAGAAACGGGGTGGCTTGTAACGAGCGTAGCAGATTGTGAATTCCCAAGGTGACTCGCGCGCAAAACAAGTTCACACCAACATTGGATTGCTTTACATTCACCTCGAAATTCCCGGCTTTCTGGTCCTGACAGCTAGTACCAGCTATGGCGGCTAAACCAGCACATTTGTGCATCCCTGCTCCTCGCACGCTCCTCTCCCATGTTATCCCCCAGTATGTCGGGCAGCACGCGCGTCCTCGCGTCGAAATCGAGAAAATGCGTCAGGGAATCTCGGTAGATGTTACTACGTCAAGGGGCTGCGTAGAGTCCCACTTTCGGCCACTGCCACGTCAGCAGCGGTCAATGGTTCTGCGCAGTTGAGTCGACTCAGCAGCAGTCACTCGCAGCCACGTCGGGGTTCACTCGTGACAACAGTCGCCTCTCGCGCCTCTCGCGCCTCCAGTGTCGCGCCTGTCGTGCCTGTCACTCTCGTGAGTGACAGTCCAATCGGTCGGTCCGACAAGTTGCACGCTGACTGGACGTCAAGTCGCTGCACCCCTGACCGTCAATCCCCTTGAGGAACCTTCGAAACATCTGCGAACGTGGCGTGGCAGGTCGAATCGCGGGCAGGCTTCTCCCAAGGTGCGCTGCGGAGACAACACAGGCTCAGGCTTCTTTCGCCGAGTGCTTAAGGCGAGCGTGCGACAGCGACTGCGCATCAGACGCTGAGGCTGAGTCCATTAAAAACCATACTCAGACCTAGATCGAGCAGCATTCTCGAGCTTGGCGTCTGTGCGTCAGTTGGGGAGCAAGCCATTTCTCGCCGAGTGCGGGGTTTGACTCGTCCGCTATTCAGAAACTCCCCGCCGAAGTCAACCTCCGTTTCCCATCAACAGGTTTCGCGTGTCCGCCTTGGGTGGGTGGCAACCATGTCGCCGTCGCCGAGCTTCGCTCCCTCCCTATTCCGTGCAGCTTGTGATGCGCCTCGAAGATCGTCCCATGCCGCTGCTCCTGCTGGGGCGCCAGCCTCACTGATTCGCCTCACGGTCGTTGCTGCGGCCCTCCTCCTCCTCCAATTCACTGCTGCTGGTGAGTCTGTTCTTGAGCTGAGTTCGTCTCTTTTCATCTCCTCCTCCGTTTTTTCCTCATCTCCTCCTCTTCGTCGTCTTTCTTCCTTGCTCCCCCCACCCACCATCCGTTCCCCACTCCTTGTGCTCCGGTTTCCTTCTCCCTCTTGATCACCCCTTTCTGGCATTCCAGAAAATGCGGATGCACGTTTCCCCTTCGCTAACAAACTTTTCTGCACCCGTTTCCCCTTCCCTTCCATGTCATCCCCTGCCACCCCTTGTCATCCATCCCTTGCTACACCTTGTTACCCCTTGTCATCCCATTCTCACCTTCTTTCTTTGCAGAGGCACAGCCAACGCCCGGTCAGCAGCCGTCCCCAATCCGCCCACCTCTCTCCTCCTCCCCTCCCTTTTCCTCCTCTCCCTCCTCCTCCCCTCCCTCCCCATCCACCTTCTCACCGTTCCAGCCTCTCCTCCTTGGCGGCCTTCAAGCCAACCTCACCCCCATCCTCCTCCCCGCCTCCACTTCCCCAACTCCCACCACACCCACCTCCACCGCTCTCAATCCCACAACAACTACTCTCACTCCTGGCTCCATTGCCGCTGGTGCTACCCCTGGTAGTCTCAGTGGTGCATCGACGCTGCCAAGTGGCGGCGCATCAGTGGTCACGCTGCTTGTAAATGCGGCTAATGCGACGCTCGCATTCGCCCTCCCCTGGGCGCAGGGGGCAGGGGAGAATGTGCAGGCGGGGATATACACTGTCGGCGATATGCTCAATGGTGAGTAGCTGTGGGTGCAGTGCGGTGCTGTGAGTTGATGTGCATTCTAAACGGGTGGAGAGAGCAGGCGGGGATATACACCATCGGAAATGACGCCGTCTCTTCCCATCCACTCCCTCCATACATCCTCCCATTCATCCATCCACTCTTTTGCATACGCGCAGCACAAATACACGCTCACTCACAAATACGAGCTCACTCACCTAACACCCCCCCTTCCTCCCCCCTCCCGACCACCTCTAATTTCCCCTTCGTTTCCTGCTCCTCCCCACACAGCATCATCCCCTCGTCTCGTCCTCCGCCTCACGGGCACCACTGCCAACTCCTCATCACTGCAAACATGTGTACAAGCACAAACTCATCTACTTACACCCTCCCTTTCCCCGCTTCTTTGCCCACCACCCCCACACAGCGTCGTCCCCTCGTCTCGTCCTTCCACTCATGGGCATCACTGCCAACTCTACCCCTCCTGCTGCTGCCTCTGCCACACGTGCCACGTCAGCATCCTCCTCGTCCTCTCCCCTTGATCCCTTAACTGCAGCAGCAGCAGGTGTGGCTGGTGTATTGGGGGGGCTAGGAACATCTGCTGCAGGTGTAATGGCAGGCCTGGGTGTAACAACAGAACCAGGTGTTACTTCAGGTGCCACAGCAGGACCCCAAGTCACTGCAGGGGCAACAGGAGCAGCCAGGGCAACAGGGACAGGGGAAGGCTTGGGAGCAACTGCAGCAAGTACAGCACCAGGGACACAAGCACCACGCAGGGGTTTGTCTGGATCCGTGTCAAATCCTGTAGCTGCAGCAGCAGGGGCAGCACAGGGGGCAGTGGGTGGAGCGGTGGGGGCAGTACAGGGCGTGGTGCGGAGGGGTTCGGGGTGGTTATGGGGAGCTGTGCCGGTGCCAGGAGCAGCGCTGGTGAATATCCTGAGGGATCCGGGCCAGTATCAGCTGCGTCTTTCTGTTGGGACTGGTGCAGATGTGGCGTCCTTTGCTGGTCGTCTCGTGGTGAGTGTAACTACCGCTACAATGCACAGTGCGGGTCTTTGAAAACAGGTACAGAAGCGTTGGTGAAACATTGCTAGAATGCGAAATCCGAGTGTTAGGAAGAGCATACAGCAGCAGCGCTGGTGAATATACTGAGGAATCCGGGCCAGTACCAGCTGTGGCGGCTGTCTGTTGAGACGTCTCAAGAATCCAGGGCAGTACCAGCTGCGGCTGCTGTCTGTTGGAAGCGGTGCCGATGCGTGCCGATGCGGTGCCGGTGCAGTGTCCTTTGCTGGTCGTCTCGTGGTGAGTGTACTCATTGCTAGAATGCCAGTCCGAGTGTAAGGAAAATGTATGCAGAAGCAGCAGCGTTGGTGAATATCCTGAGGGATCCGAGTCAGTACCAGCTGACGTATCCTCAGCACCATTGCCAGCTGCGGCTATCCATTGGGAATGGTGCTGACGTGTCCTCTTTTGCTGGTCGTCTCGTGGTAAGTGAAAAAAAATACTTATCTCTTTCGAGAAATCCCTCTGTATTCAGTCACTTTCTTGTTTCCAGGTGCCTCAAAGCTGTTTATTCTGCGAAACTTCTTTTGTCAACACCTTGCTCTTCCAAAATGCTCTCTTTCAATTCTCCCATTCCCTTCCCTCCTCTTTCTCTCCCCCACCTCTCCCCTCCCCCCCTCTTTCTCATCTTGTCCTCCTTCCCTAGTCCGTACCTATCGATCTGGCTCGAAGCATCCCCTTCCTTGGATCGCTGATTCCTAAACCTCCTCGGTTTCCTTCCCAGCCCAGTCTTGGTAAGGGCATATTGTTTGTTTTGCGCTGTGGGTTCATTTCTGTGTTTGCTGTATCATCTATCCTTATCAGTCTTCCCTCTTTTGTTTTCTTCTTTTTTTCTACCCCTCCTTTTTCATGCATCCCCAATCTTACTGGTAATCCTTTTTCCCTTCCACCAATCCCCACTCTGCCTGACCCAGGCATCCCCAACCCCCAGTCCTTTTTCTCAGGCATCCCTGACCCCCAGTCCCTCATCTCACTTGCGACTGCCATTCGTGAAAGCATCGCATCACTCCCACAAGCTGCTTGTAAGTTAGGTGTGCCTTAACCTTTTGGTTTCCTTTTTTAGGTAACATATCTTCTACTTACACTATTATGATTGGTACTGTGCAGTGGGATCATTGAACGTTCCATGGCTCTCTGGCTTTGCCGATGCTCTCGTTGAAGCTGCAGGGAGCAATCCTATGACCAGTTTTCTTCCTTGAGTATGATAATCTTATACAATTAGCACCTGGCTGTGGGTGTCGCATGTACAGTCATTATATTGAAATATTTGTAGTATCACACCTTCGCGAGCTATGTTTTGTAACCCCTTCGTGCACGACTACCTACCAACTGCCATCTGTGAGGTAATGCCTGTCACACGTGGTATATTTCACCGACCATATGGATATGGTGTGATTGGTTGTGAGATTCCACGGGATACAGAAAGATGAGGTTCGGAAGGAAAGTTTCGAGGTGATAAGAACCCCGTGTCCATACCTGAAATGCTGGGACCTTTGGTTCCTCAGGAGGTTGTTTTCACCCACTTCCTCCACTCATTTTGACTGCTTATCACTTCCCCAATAAGGTGTGGTGCAGATGTCCGCAACTGTTGACTTTTCGACCTTTCGGAAGTCGTGCCATGTGGGCTGCGGCGCAATCGAAAACAAGCCCCACAGCCGCCACACGTTGGAAGTGGTTCACAACTCACCAGCACCGAGCCTAAGATGTACCAATCATGAGCCGTATTACAAAAATTTGCAACCAATACGAGAGTCAGTTGAGGTAGATATCGAGTCAGCGCATCCATTGACGTGTTGCGGATCTTTTTTGCCTCCGTTGCCCTTCTCAGTCGCGCTGTGCTTCTTTCTTTGTCGCATCTGGCTGCGAGTGTCGTGTGGTCTCCACTTTTTTGTTTCCGCTAGCGAGCTTCGTTCGTTGCACTGATGACGGCCACTGCTTTCGGTTCAGAGAGCTCACCCTCCTTTAGCCACGCAGTGATCACCGCGCAGCGCAATGTTGTCACTGTCCGCGTCTCGAAAGCGCCTATCGATTGGTCAATTTCTCATAGGGCAGCATCATGGGCAACTGAAAGGAAGAAATGAGGGGCAAGAACACATGGCTCAAAGGCTTAGACACTAGGCAGGAAAGCTGGTAAGGTTCATAGAGTATACTCATTGGTACAATACGGTTCGAATGAATCAACACGTTGACAGTGCGATACTACGGCGTATCGACTTCAAGAAGCCATTCCTCCCTCCCACGCACGCACTTCTCCCTTGAGCAGCCCACACTTCATGAGAGGAGAGGATGTGCTTGCTGTTACATATCCAGCACTGACCACCACAAGATTCATAGAGACTGCTGTCCGTCTTCTTTGAGGATTTTTTGTGTAGTCACTTCCTGTCACTTAGCTTGTGGGTGAAGTGGAGTGAAATTTCTGTCCTGCGTGCGGCCGTACGCGGAGTATATTCAGCTGAAAACCAGCTTGAAAATCAGCTTTCTTGATTTAACAACTATGGCTTCTCCTCCACCAGTACCGCACCTCGCAACCGTCTCAACAACCGACAGTGGCAGCGCACTCAACTCCCGAGCAAACGCGTCGACCTTGGGAATACCGGCAGGATCCCCTTCGACGACAACCTCTTTCTCTCCGCTCACTTTCGTCGCGGCCGTTGCTGCATGCATCCTCGTCACCGCCGTCATCTCGCTACTCGTTTACCTCATGCGACGGATGAAATGCCATGAACCAATCGGCGGCGACCTTCCGAGTCCACAGCGGCCGCATCGCGTGTGGGTTCGCATCGGCGGTGGTAACAGCAACTCGACGAAATCTGTCGGTCTCGACGCGTCGCTGATTCGCTCTTTCCCAGTGATGATTTTCAGCTCGGAAAAAGCCGAGCTTTCCGCGGCGGGACTCACAGAAAAGCTCGTGTCGCGAAAATCGCAAGATCAACACGCCGACCAGGCAACGAAAAGTGGGAATTCTACCGATCACGGCGTGACTGTAGCGTCTCAGCTCAAAGCTCCTGATGCCGCCTCAGAATTCTCCAGACTGGCTGCTGAGGCCGACAAATGTGCCGCCAATTCCGCCGCCAATCCCGCTCCTGATCACGTGGTTGTTACCCTAGACGAGGAAAACGCGTGTTTACGCGAGTGCGCGGTTTGCTTGGGTGACTATGACGAAGGGGAACGGATAAAGCTGCTTCCGCCGTGCGGCCACCGCTTTCACGCGGACTGTATTGATCTGTGGCTGTCGTCGAAAAGCACGTGCCCGATCTGTCGCAAAGACCTTCGTCCGGCTGCGGTAACGGCCGGCGAAACGTGCGAAAAGGGTTCACGAACCCCGCGAAGAGTGAGCGAATCTGCCGAGTCTGGAGAGCGAATCGTCACGATCGTCGTGCGCGAAGAGAGCGGGGTTGTTCCTGACGGTGATAACGATAGGTCGCCGGCTCAATTAGAAGCTGTGATTTTGCGAAGAGACGGCGACATTGGCGTTGAAGTAACTGCGGTCGTGGCAGCTGTCGCATAGCCTATGCTGAGTATCTGCCAGTTCGGGTCGGGGTTCGTGGTTACTAGTGGGTAGTTTTTTTAGAACGTTCGTCCTCGAGCTTCGCGCTCTGGCTGTCGACCACTGATAGTCTAGTCAGACGTTTTTTCGACGCGTAAGAAGTCTCGAAGCGCGTGGAGCCCAGGAATAAGTGCTGCATGGTAGTGCAGTAGTACGTTCTCTCTCAGCTTCAACGCTCGTTGGTAGGTAGTACTCTCAGATTGAAGGAGAGCTGAATTTGGCTTTGCGCTCATGGGTTGATGGCATGACCTCGGGGGGTGTGTTGTGTTTCAACAATTTTCCCCACCACCCCCCACAATTTTGACTCGCGTGTTTGTACATGTATGGCATTAATGATATCCAGATTGTGTTATCTCATCCATGTGTGGGCTGGGTTTGGAGGGACACTTGGTGGGCGGGACGAGGTGGGCAAGCGTGAGCATGGATAAGTGAGCATTTACGGTTGTGATGGTTGTGATGTGGTGGGACATGGACGGAGAGGGGAGTGAGGGATGCAAGCAGGGGAGGAGATAAAGATGATAACCATGAAAGGAGGGACGCAAGCACAGAGAAAAGGGGGGCTGTGCTATGCAGTGGCGCACTGGGCCTTGAGTTGGAGCTCCCAAGGGGAACATGGTGTAATGGAGTTCATAAGTTGCTTAGTCTGCACGATTATTGTTTCAGCCAAAAAGGCGCTTACGTGCCATGCGTCTTCCTCCGTAAGCTTCCATTTACTAAGTCACAGCAAACAGTACAACTATCGGATGGCGGTTTGCTACACAATTGCAGCGTGCCAAGTTGAGGTTACTTTCTTGCCCGTATTGCATGTTGATTTGACAGGGACGATACCAGTAGCTACAGACTAGGGAATGGGGGAATGTATTTTGCGGCTGCGCACACACCCATGCCATCAGAAGCTTCACTCCTAGTACGGTAAATCCGTCTCCAGTTTCTCAAAATATAAGAAGAATTGAACAAGACCCTGTTTCCAGCAGCATTTGCAAGCAAAATACACCGTGGGCATCCCAGTCAGAGGCCCATCAAAGAGCAGAGGGCACCCAACCCAAAGCAGCAGAGGTGACGTTGGTTGGGTACTGCTGCACCCTCATCCATATTCACTGCTCTCTGCACGCTCACAAGCAGCAGCAACAGCAGCAGCAGCAGCAGCAGCAGCAGCAGCTACGTTACCCACTAACTTGCAACCCCATGCATTTCTCAAAATGTGAAAATCTCCTCACTGCCCATTGTACCGTCAACAGCAGCTGCCCGTCCAGCAGCAGCAACGCACATACCAGTAACAGTTTCCTGCAAGCAACAGCCTATGCAGCAGCTACAGCCTCTGTGCTCCCATGCAGCTTCTTCAAGCTCTCCACATGCAAAAACCTCCGCACCGCTCTCTGCACCTTTAAAAGCACCTTATCCCCTCCATATGTGAAGCAATACACTAAGCAGTAACAGCAGCTGCTGTAACCCCATGCAGCTTCTTCAAGCTCTCCTCATGCAGAAACCTCCGCACCGCTCTCTGCACCTTCAGAAGCACCTTATCCAGCTCCTCCATATTCACCGCCGTCACCGAATGATCCCTCGCACACAGAAAACACCCCCTCACGTTCCGACACTCCTTCTCCTCCAGATTCTCCCACCCGCCCTTAGCTAAGCAATCGTCGGTGTAGGAGGAAGCTTCCAGGTGGGTGTTCTCCCACATGAAGTAGTTGATTCCGTTGCGCAGGGCGAGGTTCTTGTATGCATCGGAGTGGAACTTGAAAGGGAAGAGCTCGAGCACGGTGCTGCCTGGGGGGAGGAAGATGAGGTTGCTGAGGGAGGCGCCGTGCATGCTGATGAACAGCGCCGTGTGCTGCGGATAGTGGAAGGTGGGAGGGGGAAAAAGGGAAGGGGAGGCGGGAGGGGGGAGTGGGGAGGGGGTAAATCGAAAGTCAAGGGCAGGAAGGAAAGCTTCTGTGTGTGTGCTTTGCCTTTTGAGTCGACTCAAAAGTGTTCTCCCACATAAAGTAGTTGATTCGGTTGCGCAGGCCGAGGTTCTTGTATGCATCGAAGTGGAACTTGAGAGGGAAGAGCTCGAGGACGGTGCTGCCTGGGGGGAGGAAGATGAGGTTGCTGAGGGAGGCGCCGTGCATGCTGATGAACAGCGCCGTGTGCTGTGAGAAGGGGCAGGGCGTGAGAGATGGAGGGAGAAGTGGGGGGTGGGATGGGATGGGTTGAGGTACGCCAAAGATGAGGTTGCTGAGGGAGGGGATAAACAGCGCCGTGCATGCTGATGAACAGTGCTGTGTGCTGCAGGGGGGAGGGGGGGTGAGGGGTTGTGGACGAACGGGGGAGGGGGGAGAGGGAAAGGGGGAGGGCGGTGGGGGGGGGGGGGGGGGGGGGGAGTTAGGTGGGAAGGACAGGAAGAAGCTTCTGGGTGCGTGTTTTCCCACATGAAGTAGTTGATTCCGTAGCGCAAGGCGAGGTTCCACCAGAAGATTTCACCTGAAACGGCACCTGAGAACCCACCTGAAACAGAGCCATCTGCTCGAGCAGCGGTGAGTCGGCAAGGTGGTACTGGTTGGTGACGTGGCGGGGAAAGAGGTCCTTCACATGCCACGCCACCTCCCCCATGTTGCTCACTGTGCGCTGCTCCTCCCTCTCCACCACCGTCACCTCTTTTTGCCCACACGAAACAGTGACCTTCCTACCTGAACCCGCACCTGATACAGAAGCAGAAACCCCCCTGAAGGAGCAATCCAACTGGAAAAAAAAAGCCTGATACAGCACCTGATGAAGACCATCTGACAAAGCAGAGCACCTGAGAACCCACCTGAAACAGTGCCATCTGCTCGAGCAGTGGTGAGTCAGCAAGGTGGTACTGGTTGGTGACGTGGCGGGGAAAGAGGTCCCTCACATGCCACGCCACCTCCCCCATGTTGCTCACTGTGCGCTGCTCCTCCCTCTCCACCACCGTGACTTCCAGCTTCCGATCAAAGTCATGCCCCCTTAAAGCCGCGTTCAAAACCTCGTCTCCCTGCCGTATCACCACACGTGCGAGTGCGTGCGTTCTCTCTCGCTGAATCACCTCCTCCCGAAACCTCTTCTCACTCTCCTCTCGGCTCTCCTTGTTTTTACTTGCCGAACCGGCTTCGTCTCTCCTCCTCTGCTTCTCCTGCTCCTCCTCCCCCATCTCCATCTCCTCCTCAACCTCGAAATCCCCGTTCCCATCCCCTGTCACCCCGTTCTCCTCCCTCCGCTGAAACACCTTCGCAGCCACCTCTGCCAGACCCCAAGCGTCCTCCTTAAACCCCTGTGTGGACGAGTTTAAATGCCGAGCATTCAGCACAAACGCCACCTGATCAAAGCACACAGGCCGGCCCTCCCTGTGCCCGGCTAAAACCTCCGAAGCTGGCCCAAAAAGCATCTGAGCGATCCCAGCCGTCCATTTGCTCCTGATCGTCTTCTCACTGGGGAAGAACAGCGAGAGCTCCGCTCCCTCCTTCTCCCTCCTCCTCCACCGCTGCCGCCTCCTAGACCTCTCTTTCTCACTCCACTTCTCCCCCAACGCTCTCGCCCCTCCCACTTTCGCATCCCCCCACTCAGCCTCCTCGTCCTCCCCCAGCGGCCCCTCCCTTGGAAAGTGCCGGGAAACTTCCCACATGGCGACAGCTGATTCGCCGAAATGCCCGATGTGCGTGTCGTACCTCCCAACTATCCCCACCCGCCGCCGAAAATCGTTCGGGTTGTTCTTCCGCAACTTTTTTTTGGCAGTCGAGCTGCTCTCCGCGATGAACTGCCCGAGCGCAGGGTGCCCTAAAAATCTCCCGTACGTCTTATTCTGCCGGAGCTTCAGGATTGGGAGATCGTGGGAATCCGAAAACAGAGGTGTGGTATCTAGGTCTTTCCCCGGCTTGAAAACAGAGCACATGCTCTTGCCTAGATCTAGCTTCGACAGGTCACGATAGTGGCCTGTGTTCATGAACCCCCCTGCTCCTGCTTTGCCCTCTTTGAGCCCAGCAAAACGGCTGAACCAGCCACCTCCGCTGCTTCTTCCTTCTCCTGCTGCTCTTCCTAGCAGCCTCCTCCTCTGCCTGCTTGCACCGTGATCTAAACCCTCACTCGGAAACTCGCTTGCATGCACTTCTCCCTGCCCCGCTTCCCCTCCTTCCCCCTCTTCCCCTCCCTCCCCCTCTCCCCCCACCTTCTGCGCCCTCTGCCGTTCCTGCTCCTCCTGCTCCTCAGGCGAATATGGCCCCACTAGCTCCGACCCTCCGCCACTACGTAATAGCCTCCTTCTGCTGCTTCCCTTGGTCGCTCCCCTTGGCTTCTTCCAGTCAGGCGAGTATGGCCCCACTAACTCCGAGCTATTCTCACTCATAGCCTCCCTCACAAACCACACACCTGTGTACGCGTTATGGTATGCCCCTTTACCCGCCATAAACAGGTAGCACAGGTCCTGCACCAGTAACACGCACGAGTAGTCGTGCTTCTGCTGTAACAGGTATGCGCCGTGCACGCGCGGTAAAGGGGTTACGTGCCACTTGGCGCTCATCCGTTCGTAAAAAGGCTTGGGGGTTCGGGTTTTCGGGCCTGTTTGTTGCTGCTGGGCGGCAACGGTTTGCTGCTCCTGGGCGGCAGTCTTTTCCTTTTGGGCGGCTACTTCCTTCTGCTTGGTGGCAGCTTCCTTCTGCTGGGCGGCAGCTTGTCTCTGTTGGGCAGCAGCTTCCTGGGCGGCTGCTTCCTTCTGCTGGGCGGCAGCTTGTCTCTGTTGGGCGGCAGCCTTTTGCTGCTGGGCGGCAGCTTCTCGGGCGGCAGCTTGTCTCTGTTGGACGGCAGCCTTTTGCTGCTGGGCGGCAGCTTCTCGGGCGGCAGCTTGTCTCTGTTGGGCGGCAGCCTTTTGCTGCTGGGCGGCAGCTTCTCGGGCGGCTGCTTCCTTCTGCCGGGCGGCTGCTTCCCTCTGCTGCTGTTGAAGACGAGCCTGTTTCTCTTGGGCGGCAGTCTGTTTGGCTGGAATGATGGTGGGAGGGGGGGAGGAGGAAGGAAAGGGGAGTACCGGAGATGTGGAGAGAAGTTGCACGGGGGGTGGTGAGGGAGGAGAGGGGGGATTCTGGTCCTGGTGGTCGATGGTAGGATGGGAAGGTGAAGAGGTGTGGGAAGCGGCGGATGCAGTATCATCACTGTCACTGCTGCTGTCGCTGTTGCTCCTCCTGTTATCACTGCTGTCTACCCCGGTGCTGCTCCTGCTGCTGCTCGTGCTTCTGTCACCAGTGCTGCTACTGCCAGACTCACCACTGCTTGAAGTTTCTTGCTCTTGACCAGCCTCAACAGAACGAGAATCAGAACCAGCACCAGCATCAGCAGCACCATCAGCAGCAGCATTAGCATCAGCAGCACCAGCACCAGCAGCACCATCGGTATCACCACCAGCACCAGCATTCTCTGCAGAGCCAGAATCTGCTGCAGCGGCAGCAGCATCACCTGTGCTGATCCTGGCGGTAGAAGCAGGGGTGCTGGTAGCTACTGTGGGTGTGCTTGTAGTGCTTGTGGGAGTGACAGTAACGGGTGATGGTGTGACAGTAACTGTAGTTGGGATGTTACTATCAGTGTTCCTGGGAGTCCTATTGGCAGTGGAAGCAGGTTGAGTGATTGTTTTGGGGGTGCTACTGGTGGCTGCAGCAGAAGCAGCGTTCCCCTTGCTTGTCCGAACTGTGAGGGTGTCAACAGGTGTGGTAACGGTAGGTGTGGTAACAGCAGGCGTGGTAACAGCAGCTGAAGGAACAGTACGTGTGGCAACAGTACGTGTGGTAACAGCAGGTGAGGGAAGAACGGCTTTCGTAACAACAGGCCCCGGTGTGGTGACGGCTCGGTTTGAATGAAAGGGGGAGGGGGTGACACGAGAGTGCGAGGAGACACTAGAGGGGGTGGGGGAGCCACGAGAACGGGGGGAGGAAACACGACCGGAGATTGCTTTACGGCCAGTGGAGAGGTGTGCAGCAGCAGCGTCGAGATGGGCGAAGAAACTGAACCGCGAGTCAGATGACACGGAAGATGAAACCTTCGGCGTTTCATCTGGAGTTTCATCTGACGACGAGGAGGAGCGAGAGAAGGAAGACCTGGACCTTGATGAGCTACTAGATTTGCCTTTTAACGCGTGGCGTGTCTCTCCTGCTGCGCCTCTTGCTCCTCTCACACCTTCTCTGGCCTTAGCATTGCCCATTCTCCCTCCCTCTCCTCCCTCTCTTCCCTCTGCTCCGCCCCTCCTTCCTTTTCCCACATTCCCTCCTTTCCCTAACCTCCCCTGCTTTCCTTCACTCCCTTGCTTGCCCCCTCTCCCCGCCTGCCCTCCTCTCCCTCTTGCTTGAGACGAGGAGGAGGAAGAGAGGGAGAGGGAGGGTAGCTCTATATCCACGACAGACCCGTCATCCACGTCAGCTTCTATGTCCAGGTCATTGTCCACATCAGCGTCGTCCGAGAGGAACTGGGCCTTGCGTGACGACAGCTGGCGGGTGGAATGGCTAACGAGAGCGAATACAGGGGAGTGGTTTTGAAAGGGAGAGGGGGAGAGGGTGGGGGAATATAGGGGGGGCGGGAGTGGGTTTGAGATTCGCTGTTGGTCCAAAAAGTGGTAGGAAACGGAGTAACAGAGACTACGAGTCACAAATGAGAAGTTAATCTCACTTATCATGTCAGAAAAAAAGTTTAAATTCACACGAGATGAATCATCAACCCATGTAACGTGTGATAAGTCACCAGCTCACATGTGATAAGTCATCGCATGTTACATGTGATCAGTCAACTCACATGTCATAATTCTTCAGCTGTGCATCAGCTTCAGTCACATGCAAGTGGCAGTTACCCCCAGGGCACGACCTTGCACCGTTGATTATCAACTCCAGTAGAATCACAGACAAAATCCCATTCACTAAAGTCACACCCCCCACCAGCAGCATGCATCGCCGGTACCGCCCTAATTTCCCGCTGAATCCGCGCATCCAAGTCTCCGAACTCCCTCCGCTTCCGCCTCCCCCTCCCCGCCCCCCTCCCCAGGGCGCAAGCGGGCTTCCGGATCTTGCCCGGGGGAAGGGGAAACTCTCCCTTCCCCCGCCGCCTGCGCTCTTTGCTGCATTCTGGTGCGCGTTCTTGCCCGCGCGGGATTTGGCAGGCGCTGAGTCGTCGAGTACGTAGCTAGTCGGCTCGGCGGGTTGCAGGAACCACAGAGTGCCGCCGCGATTGACGGCGCTGCTGCTACTGCTGCTGGTGCTGCTGCTGCTATCCTTATGGGTGCTGCTGCTTTCCATACTGGCGTGTGCGAGGCGTTACTATGTTGTTGCGACAGGTAAGTTTTCGCCGGTCGTCATCCCCCCTACAGAAAAGCGATAAAGTACTGCGCGTGGTAAGTGCAGCACTATGGATTGCCGCGATGACGTAGGGTCCGAAGACGTGAAATCGACTGACCCTCTAAGAAGTAAGGGTGCAAGACTTCGCTGTACAACAGAATCCGGTGCTGACGTGAATACTATGAATACTCGGTAAATCGCACTATGAACGGACGGCTTCCTAGGAAAGAAGCTCACAACAAGATGGTTCTAATCCTTGCACTCGTGGGTGTTTGCCGTATTGTATCGCAACTCATGATGTCACCCGGGGATCGCCTAACTAGCGGCGACGGGAAATGCTTCTGATTCGTAACGACCGGGATTTTTAGTGGTGCTTCACCAGATCCTATTGTGCGGTTATGGAGGCTTCGAACATAGGCGGCACGAAACAATGACACTTTCGTATGCCGGCAAGAACCCAGATTTTTCTTTTAACCTGCGCGACGGAAATGGTCGCTCAATGGAACCTTGTCGTCTCGTCATCCATTGCTCCTCATTCCTGAATACCTGATGATTGTTGGTGATGGTTGTGCTGGCTTGGTCGCTCGCTTTTCTCGGTTGGTTGTGGTACCGCCGTTCCTTGGCAATTCCGAGGTGGAGCTTGATGCCATTGGTCGCTGGCGGATTCGGGCAGGACCTTCACAGCTGTAAGGAATTTTCTCCTTACGGAGCCCGACTACATCGCGTACGGCAACAACCGTTGTTCGCCCGTTACTGCTAACGGGACTTCGCCAACTTCGCGCGCACTGTTTTGCCAAACCTCGCACTGCTGGCCCGGCCGCGTCGGCCTACGCTTCGGGACTAGCCCGAGCCTCGCTGCCAGCATAGCACTAGCTAGCTCGCACGCACCGCGTTACCGTTTGCATGTTTCGCATATAAATGTTCGCTCAGGCCTTCGCTCACATCTTGGTACTCGTTTTGACACCTTAGTGCAATTCTCGCTACCTCGATTCATTGCACCCGTAACACTTGGTATCAGAGCCCCTTTCTTTCGGACCGCACATCTCCACACCCCAGGAAATCCACTTTTGATTTTTCACTCGAAGGGACTCACGTACCTTAGCACCTAGGAGCCGCTGTCCTCGCGTTCTCTCGTAAACGCGTGCAGCCACGACTGCGCCTAGACTAAGACGAGCCGACGCCCTTCGAAATGGCTGAACACATCGACGTTACGACTCTCACGCAGGAGCACTTGAACGATCTGCTGCGACAAATCCGCGAGAGCGCCGAGGAAATTGCGACGCTGACGGCAGAACGCTCGTCCCTGCAAAACGACTTCGTACCAGCACAATCCCAAGCACCTGGCACTTCGATTCAGCCCGCACCACAAGCATCACAGCACGGGAGTGTGGGGCAACCCGCGAGCGCCGCAAGTGATGGCGTCGTCCGCCATGACGGAGACGACGACCACGGCACGACACACCCCGACGCGACGAATGCGCCCAGAACGCAGCCTCAAGTCACGATTTCGGTGCCGGCAGGCGGATCAACTCTTCCGTCGCCGATGCCGTTAAAGCCGCAGCGTCCGCCATGCTTTGACCCAAGTCAGCGGGGTGGTCCTACCGTTCAGGCGTGACTCTTCACGTTGAATGTCTTCTTCGACGCGAACTACGTCTCGGAGGTTACGGCGAAGATTCGCTACGCCGTGTCGTTGCTGCGAGGACCCGCCATGGACTGGTGGCGCGTCATCGTCACGAAGCCGGTGGACTACGCGACTCTACCGACACGGGAAGGACAAACCGGACCCTGGGCGCCGTCGTATTTCGTGGAGGTGCCCCAGTATCGCACGTGGGACGCGTGGTGCGCAGGTCTGCGCGCTCGTTTCGAGCCAATCGCGGCTTCGATTGCGGCGCGACAGAGGCTCCGCACTTGGCGCCAACTCGGTTCCGTCCAGGATTATACGAGCGGGTTTCTGGCGCTATGCGAGAAGGTGGGATACATGTACGAGAGCGAGCGCATCGACCGCTACATCGGCGGCCTGAAGCAGGACATCGCTCAAGAAATCCAGCTTCGCAGCGTCACCGATTTTCAAGAGATTCTCGCTATGGCGGAGAAACTTGACTTCTTCCGCCGACCGAGACCGGGGTCCTACGGAAGCAGCCATTGGGGACATCGGCCTTGTGGGACGAACGAGAATGCCACGATACGTGCCGTCGCCGCAAATGCCGCTGCCGCACCATTCAAAGGGCGCTGCTTTACGTGCAATCGGCCGGGACATCGCAAGAACGAATGCTCGGAAAACGCTAAGGGAAAGGGGGAAGCTGAGCAGCAGAAACAGACCAAGCAGCAGGGAAACGCTGGGAGTCAGTAGCAGACGGGCCCTCTACTAACAGGTCACGCCGCTCACCCGACCCAACGACCCTCACCGAGTGATTGTGCCGGTTCACGCAATCGACCACACCCGGCCGAATAAGGAGGGTACTACGGTAGACAGCCCCATACTGCTTAGTGGGAAAATCGGGATGGACTTAGTAAAAATCTTCGTAGACGGGGGAGCCAGCCACAGCCTCATCAACACTGCCACAGCACGAAAACTGCGACTTTCACTGGACAAATGCTTACCTGAGATCGATGCAAGACTGGTAGACGGCACGCCGCTAGCAATACGGGAACGCGTAGACCGGGTTCGGATTCGATGCGGGGGTAACTTCACATTTAGCCAGGAAATGCTCGCAACGACCCTCGACGGAACCGATATTCTACTCGGGCGTGATTGGTTGCGACGACACAATCCGCGAATCGACTGGACGACGGGTGACTGCACCGTGCGAGTGAACGGTAACAACATCGCCTTACCTCGTTGGGGCTCGCCTGAGTCTTCGTCGATGCGTGTCAACGCGATCACGATGAAACGCGCTGTAGCGGCAGGAGCTGACGTGTACGCGGTCGACATTCGGGAAGCAGAGGCAGCAGACAAAGGAGGGGATTTACAGAAACTGCTGGCCGACGTACCGAGTGACCTGGCAGCACTGTTGAAGCAGTACAGCGACATTTTCCCGGACGATTTACCGACGGGACTGCCACCTCAGCGACCACACAACCACAGGATAGAGTTAGAACTCGGGGCACAGCCAACAGTACAGCGACAGTTCCGACTGACCCAGCCTGAACTGGACGAACTGAGGAAGCAGCTCGATTACCTGCTCGAGAAGGAATTAATTCACCTTAGTTCGTTGCCCTTCGCAGCACCGATACTGTTCACACCGAAAAAAGACGGGGGATTTCGCATGTGCATAGATTACAGAGCACTGAACAGGGTTACCATCAAATCCTGTTACCCCATCCCACGAGCCGACGAACTGATCGACCAACTGCGCACAGCCCGGGTTTTCTCGAAAATCGATCTCCGCGGGGGTTACCACCAGATTCGCGTCAATCCGCCCGACTGCCCTAAGACCGCATTCCGAACACGCTAAAGATCATTCGAATACACCGTCATGCCTTTCGGACTGACCAACGCCCCCGACACGTTTCAAATGACCATGAACGAGGCTTTTCGCCCGCTCTTAGAGAAGTGCGTCATCGTATACCTGGACGACATACTGATTTACAGCCCTGACAGAGCACAGCACTTACAGGACATCGAAGCAGTTTTTAAAAACCGAGTGAGAACCGCCTACTGACAAAAGCGTCTAAGTGTGAATTTTTACAAAACCGCCTTGAGTTTTGGGACACGTTATTTCAGCTATAGGAGTGGAAATCGACCCGAAGAAAATTGCAACATGGCGACTACGTGCGCCGGTTCGTCCCCTACATGGCGAAGCTGAATGCCCCGTTGACCGACCTGCTGAGGAAGGGGGTTGAGTACAAGTGGGGGGAGAAAGAGCAAGCTGCCTTCTCGGCCCTCAAAAACATTTTGTGCTCACCGCCCGTGCTTCACATCGCAGATCCACACCGTCCGTTCGAGCTCGTCACTGACGCAAGTGACATCGCTGTGGGAGCAGTACTGTTGCAGGATTTCGGGGACGGCCTCCAGCCAATCGCGTACGAGTCCCGCAAGCTGCACCCGCCTGTCAAACTTATATGCTATAGTCTGTGTAGGCTGTTTTGGGGTAGCTCATATGGGGTACAACACTTTAGGGTTTCCTACTTGTACTCCTCATGCTGCTCAATGCAACCATTCCTCATTCTTTCACATGGTATAGAGCAGGTTCCCTAGTGGGAACGTTTCCTAGGGCCCACCACTGAATTTTTTTTTTCCTGCCCGGAGCGCGCTTCCCTCTTGCCCAAGTTGCGCCCCGTGTGCCCTCCCTCCCGTCGCGTCCCTAGCCCTTAGCGGCCCGTCGCGCCCTCCTCAGGCCCCTTGCGGCCCCCTTTTGCGGCCCCTCACGGCCCCTCTCACGACCCCGTCGTCGCCGCTCTAGGCCCCGTCGCCGCCCCTCTAGGCCCGTCACGGCCCATTTGCGGCCCCTTTGCCGCCCCTAGCGGCCCCGACGCCGCCCCTCTAGGCCCCTCGCGGCCCCTTCGCGGCCCCGTCGCCGCCCCTCTAGGCCCCTCGCGGCCCCTTCGCGGCCCCGTCGCCGCCTCTCTAGGCCCCGTCGCCGCCCCTCCAGGCCCCTCTCGGCCCCTTCGCGGCCCCGTCGCCGCCTCTTGCGGCCCCGTCGCCGCCCCCTCTTGGCCCCTTACGGCCCCTCTGCGACCCCGTCGCCGCCCCTAGCGGCCCCGTCGCTGCCCCTGGAGGCCCCGTCGCCGCCCTTCGCGGCCACCTCGCCGCCCTTAGCGGCCCCTTCGCGGACCCTAACGGCCCCGTCGCCGACCCTAGCGGCCCCGTCGCCGCCCCTAACGGCCCCGTCGCCGCTCTTCGCGGCCCCGTCGCCGCCTCTACCGGCCCCTTCACCGCTGAGCCGCCCAGCAGCTTGTCAAATATAGTAGGAGCACGGCCTAGGCCTAGTAGCCTAGGCCACAGTAGGACTAGAGCAGTGAGGCGCCAAGTACGAGCTAGGTTGTGTGCAGGAATGTTATTGAGAAGGGAATGATTGAACTAGCAAGCAGCAGGATACAAATAGCAAACCCTAAGGGGCTGTACTCACTATTGAGTGCCCCACTGCAGGCTACACAAACAACATATTCTGACACAGCTGAACAGCCAAGCCACCACGCCGCCAGCCGCCCAGCAGGCGAGGTGCCCGACAGCCGAGCCGCCCAGCAGACGAGCCGCCGAGCCGCCGCGCCGCCCAGCGACCGAGCAGCCAGAAGCCGAGCCGCCGTGCCGCCCAGCAGCCGAGCCGCCCTGCCGTCGAGCCGCTACTGTACCTACCGGCGCGCCCCGGCCCTACTCCCTTGGACTGGTGAGCTCACTCCCTGATAGGCCACTGCAGTCATGGCTACCCCCAGTGTCCTTACCTTTGATACTGATGGTCGTGCAGTTGACTTTGAGGTCTGGGTCGATGACCTCCAGCTGATCTTACAGTGCGAAAGGGCAGACGGGCTCTCCCTGTTCGATCTCACCTCTCGTGTCTCTCCTGCCCCGCCTGCTACTGCTGACAGCACTGTTCGCTCACAGTGGGCCATGCGCGATGCTGCTGCACGTCTTGCTGTGCGTCGCCACTTACCGACCACTTAGCGTGCGCACTTTAGCCAGTACAAGACTGCTAAGACCTTGTACGACGCTGTAGTTGCACGCTACTCATCCCCTTCCACTGCTGCGCTTAGCCGCCTCATGCTACCGTACCTGTTTCCTGACCTTGCTGCCTTTCGCACGGTCGCTGACCTCATAACACACCTTCGCACTAGTGACACTCGCTACCGCGCTGCACTTCCTGCTGAGATCTGTGTCAAGAACCCCCCCCCCCATGTACATCACCCTCTACTACATTATCACCCGGCTCCCTGACTCCCTTCGCTTAGTCAGGGACCACTTCCTTTCAGTTTGCCCCACCACACTCACCGTTGACCTCCTCGAGGAGCGCCTCCTGGCAGCAGAGAAGAGCATAGTCGCTGTAGGAGCTTCTCGTGGTGACCCTCGTACCCCCGTCTTTGAGGGGTGTTCTCCCTCCCCCCTCTTGCCCTCTGTTGCTTCTGCTACTGCGGGCGACCTCGTTGGCTTCGAGTCGGTCGACGCTGTGTCTGCCCCTAGCGGGAAACGCCGCACCGGCAAGGGCAAGGGCGGCAAGGGCGTTGGAGGGGCTGATGGGGGCGGTGGAGGTGGTGGTGGAGGCAGTGGAGGGGGAGGGGTTGGTGGTGGGAGTGGTGGCGGGGGTGGAGGTGTTGGTGGCAGCAGTGGAGGCGGAGGAGTCGGCGGTGGTGGAGGAGGGAGCGGAGGCGGCGGAGGTGGCGGAGGCGGCGGAGGCAGCGGTGGAGCTGGTCACGGCTCTGCGCAGAGGAGTGGCTCCGGTTGTGGTCCGTGCCAGCAGCAGCAGCGCAGTCGTGAGACCCTGTCTCCTTAGCAGCTTCGTGAGTGGTACGTTGGGCGTCAGCGGGGTGGGGGTACTGGTCCCTGCACCTACGTCCTCCGTACAGGCGACCGCGCTGGTGAGCAGTGCGGGGGCACGCACTCCACCTAGCGCTGCTTCGGCCGCCTGACTGACGCTTGGCGTCATCAGTTCCCTGACGCCACTAAGATCCCTCGCTGGGGAGAGCTGTCTAGGGCAAGGGTTGCGATCTTTGATCTTGACTATGATGCTATTCTTGCTGCCATGTATGTTGTGTCTACTAGTGATGAGGGTGACTGTTACCTGTGCGTTCCACCTGACCCGGGCATTGAGGCTGCTGCTCTAGGTGCTGGTGAGGCTGCTGCTCTAGGTGCTAGTGCGTCTGCTGCCCCAGGTGCTGGTGAGTCTACTTTCTCAGGTACCACGTCGGCTCAGGCGTTGCACACCTTCACCCTTAACTCGGGTGCTTCCCGCTCCTTCTTTCGAGACCGCACCACGCTTACGCCACTTAATCGGCCGGTTGCGGTCTCTCTGGCGGACCCCTCTGGGGGTCCTGTCCTTGCTAGCTTCTCCACTGTCTTACCGTGTCCGGCAGCCCCCTCTGGCACCCTGTCAGGTCTCTACCTCCCCTCGTGCTCTACGAACTTGGTGAGTGGAGCTAATCTACAGGATCGGGGGGTTGACCAGTTCACGCCTGCAAGTCAGCGGGTGACCCACTGTACATGTGCTCGGACGGGCCGACACTTGGCCACGTTTACCCTTCAGCCGCAGTCGAGCCTGTACACACTGAGCACTGAGTCTCCTCTGTGAAACAATGAGAACAGGAATGAATGAACTATGAATGAAAGCAGTACAAATATGAAACCCTAACTGGGTTGTACCCCCTATGGGATACCCCACTACAGCCTACACAGCAGTATAAGCTATAGATATGTTCTGACACACCCCCATAGGCAAAGTGGGGGAGAACAAGGGGTCACAAGACCAGTCAAGCAAGACAAACCAAAGCTCAGGGTGGATCACAAAGTCACCACACAGTCCGAGCACAAGAGCAAGGCCAAAGGCCAGTTCACAAGCAAGAGTACAGACATATATATAAAGCTAGACAAGCAAGAGCAGGTATATATATATGTCACAGTACAAGTGAAGTCAAGAGGAGAGCAAGTGAGGCAAGACAGGCACAAGACCCAGCTGGGTGCAGAAGCGCTGATGGTCACAAGGCGCAAGTGCCTTGGTGAACACATCAGCAGTGTTGGCCTCAGAGGCCACGTACGCAAGTCGCAACTGACCACGCTGCTGCAGCTCACGAGCAAGGAAGTAGCGGAGAGCAATGTGCTTCGTTCTGTGCTCCAAGCGCTGCTCTCGACACAAGGCCAGCATGGCCTTGTTGTCTACGTACAGCACTGGAGGAGAACGAGGCGGCTCTCCAAGGTCAGTCAGCAGGTAGGTGAGCCAGCGAAGCTCCTGTGCAGCCATGGCCCCGGCGTAGATCTCAGCCTCACAACTGGAGCCGAGAACCGAAGACGAGCGAGTAGACCACCACGAGACAGAGCCGGAACCAAGGCTGAAGGTGTAACCCTGTGACGACCGCTGCGTAGCCTGGTCGTCAGCCCAAGAAGCGTCCGCGTGACCGGTAAGGACCACTGGACTCCGCCCTCCAAGCACTAGCCCCATGCCCGACGTACTGCACAGGTAGCGCAATACCCTCTTCGCTGCAGCCATGTGCTCCGGTCTGTGTCTCCCAGGAGCAACATAGCGTGCAAGAATGCTCAGAGGGTATGCAAGGTCAGGTCGTGTGCAGGTCATCAGGTACATGAGGCAGCCAACAAGCTCTGCATACGGACCACTCGACTCTACGGACTCATCCGAAGGCAGAGCTGAGAGTGAGTGGCGAGTAGGCAGAGGAGTGGCCTGAGGCGAGGAGTACGTGAAGCCGAAGCGCTGAAGGACCTGCTGCACCATGTGTGACTGAGTCAAGGTAATGGTGCGGCGTGCTCTGTCCCGAGTGATCTGCAAGCCAAGGTAGCTGCGCAGTTCACCCAGGTCTGTGCACGTGTGTCTCTTCAGCAGCTCGGACTTCACGTAGGCGAGTCCAGTAGTGTCCGATGTGGCAAAGACCAAGTCGTCGACGTACACGAGGATGTAGAACGGCGGCAGGGAAGTGTCGGTGCGAAGAAACAGCGACGGGTCAGCAGTAGAAGGAGCAAACCCAAGAGCCGCAAGCGTAGTCCTCAGTGTGTCGTGCCACTCACGCGGTGCCTGGCGGAGACCGTAGACTGGCCGTCGGAGGCTCCACTGGGTGCCAGGAGGGAAAGTCCCAGTGAAGCCAGGTGGACGGCGAAGCCAGATCTCCTCGTGCAGACTACCCTGCAAGAACGCAGTGCTGAAGTCGAGAGAGTGAAGCTCGTAGTCGCGCTGAGCGGCTATGTGCAGCAGCACCCGAAGAGTAGTCATCTTCGGGGTGGGAGAGAAGGTCTGAAAGTAGTCAACTCCCTGCCGCTGACTGAAGCCACGAGCAACGTACCGTGCCTTGAAGACAGGTGGAGAGCCCGGCGGCCGCTTCACCCTGAAGATCCACATGCCACTGACGATGTTCGCACCAGGAGGGGGAACCGCGTCAACGTAGGTGCCTGTGGACTTCCAGGAAGCCATCTCTGCATCCATAGCTGCCTGCCACTGAGAGGAGTAGGGACCCTCTACGGCCTCCGCGTAAGAACGCGGAGTCGGGATGTCTAGTGCATCCGGGTCTCCCTCAGGGGCAAGCAGTACAGACGCGAGATGAGGTGAAGCAGCCGCTAGACACTGTAACTCCTCCTGCCTGTCCTCTAGGACGTCCGTGCCAAGAGCACACTCACCCCCGACGGACGGAGGACAGACAGACGCAGACTCAGCAACAAGACTAACAGCGTAGTCGAGACGAGAGCGAGCAGCAAAGTCAACGAGCTCAGCGACCAGAGCAGACGCAGCAGTGGACTCAAAAGAGGGGTCAGTGACGACAGTAGCAAGCAGACGCGTGACAGTGGGACTGGCAGCACGAAGAGAGTCCGACTCAGGGTCCGCAAGCGCAGGAAGAGAGGACTCAGGAGGAGAAGGCAAAGGGGCACGCAGAGGAGCAGTGGACGGACGTAAAGACATCCGGTGCGTGCCAGGGACAGGAGGAGGACGCTGACGCGAACTGCGACCACTAGCGCGAGCAGCACGAACAGGCGACGCGGGACGAGACGCAGGCTCACGACGCTCAGCAAGACCTCCAGTAGGACCAGTGTAAGGAGAGGGAGCAGGCAGTGGAGAGGAAGGCTCCAGTAGGGGCTGCGACTGGACAAGCGGTGGACCCTCTACTGGAGGAGAAAGACCAAGAACCTGCTGAAGGAGCGGAACGAAGTACGGCCAAGGCCGCGCGGCAGCTCGAGACTCAGCAGGGACAGCACCAGCACCCTCAGCGACAGCACCAGCGCCACCCACACCTCCAGCGGCAGGACCAACAGCAGCAGGCTCAGCACGAACGCCCTCAGCAGCTCCAGCTCCAGGAGGACCCGCAGGGCCAGCAGCTCCGGGACCGGCAGCACCCGCACCCTCGACGGTCGAAGAAGCTCCAGCTCCAGCTCCAGCAGCACCTCCAGACTCAGCAGCACGCCTCCAGCGGCGAGCGAACCACTCGCGCAGCTCCTGTGGAGAGAGGGGCTCCCGGCGAGACACAGCAGCAGGAGAAACCCCAGGCTCAGCAGCTCCAGACGCAGCACCCCCAGGCTCAGCAGCTCCCAGCTCAGCACCCCCAGGCTCAGCAGCTCCCGACCCAGCACCCCCAGGTACAGCACCCCCCGGCTCAGCACCCCCAGGCTCCGCACCCTCCGCAGTAGCACCCCCAGGCTCAGCACCCCCGCGCACAGCACCCCAAGAGTCAGCACCCCCAGGCTCAGCACCCGCAGCAGCACCAGAGTCACCAGTAACCTCGACCGGGTCAACGGCATCTACCTGGGACACACCTGAGGGGGCAGGAACCTGAGGGGGGAGGGGGTCTACCGGGGGGGGAACCGGCACAAGGAAGTCCGGGGGAGGGGGGAGGGAAGGAGTGCGGTAGGGGAAGAGACGGTAGAAGGGGACTGACTCGTCGAACGTGACGTCCTGGGAGGACAGAACACGACGAGAGGAGGGGTGGTAAAACTGCCACCCTGGGGCGTCAGTGGGGAAGCCAAGGAAGACACAGGGAGCAGCACGAGGGGACAGCTTGTCCGCAGACAAGTCGCGGACAAACGCCCGAGATCCCCAGACACGGAACACAGACGCATCGCCAACCTTCCCCGTCCACAGCAAGGCTGGGGACATCGCTGGCCGAGAGACCCGGGGGTGAAGGTTGAGCTGATGCGCCGCGTACCTCACCGCAAACGGCCACAGAAAATGGGGGGCAGCCGCATGCATCATGGACGTACGAGCGACATCCATGACCATGCCAATGCGGCGCTCAGCAATCCCATTTTGCTGTGGTGAGTCCGGAAGCGTGAAGGTCTGGCGGATCCCCCGTGCACGACAGTAGTCTCGCAGAAGGCGAGAAGAGAACTCTCCGCCTCTGTCAGAGTGCAGACGCAGAACAGGAAAGTCCGAGCCGAAGCTCTTCCTGAGCTGGAGACGAGCCTCGCGGATCCAGTCGATCAGCACCTCAGTGACCGCACCCTTGCTGCGCAAGGGGAGGACTGTGGTGTAACGCGAGTAGTCGTCAACCACCAACAGGAAGTAGCGCTCGTAACCCTGCCCACGGACGGGGGCTGGGCCCCACACATCCATGTGAAGCGTCTGCAGGGGAGCCTCTGTCGGGGGGAAGTGGGAGGAGTGAGGAGTAGCCCGGAGGCGACCCTCGACACAGGGGACACAGGAAGGTCCTGGCCCGGAGGGGAGAGGAGGGAGAGACTGGGGAAGACCAGAGACAAGGACACGGGAAGCCATGCTCCGAAGACGGGGCAAGGAGGGGTGGCCAAGACGGTGGTGCCACAGGAGAGTCTCGTGAGACAGGAGGCGACAAGAACAGGGGGCAGACTCAGGACCTGACCGGGACGCAGCAGCAAGTACCTGACCCGACGCAGCCACCTGACCAGACTCAGGGACAAGAGGAGACTCAACGGTCAGGGTGTAGAGACTCGACCCCGGCCGACGTGAGAACGTGGCCAGGTGTCGGCCTGTGCGAGCCTCCGTGCAGTGGGTCACCCTCTGACGCGCAGGAGTGAACTGGTGAACACCCCCATCCTGCAGGTCCGCTCCACTCACCAAGTTCGTAGAGAACGAGGGAAGGTACAGACCCGACAGGGTGCCCGAAGGGGCAGCCGGACACGGGAGGACAGTGGAGAAGTGAGACAGGACAGGACCCCCAGAGGGGTCAGCAAGGGAGACCGCAACCGGCCTGGCGAGCGGCGAAAGGGTAGTGCGGTCTCGAAAGAAGGAGCGAGAAGCTCCGGAGTCAAGTGTGAAAGTGAGGGAGGACGAGGACGACTCAGTACCTGAGAGCGCAGTCTCACCAGTACCTGAGAGCGCAGACGCACTGGCACCTAGAGCAGCAGCCTCACAAGCACCTAGCGCAGCAGTACCAATGCCCGGGCCGGGCTGAAAACACCGGTAACCCTCATTCTCCTCACTATAATCCACAACATACATAGCAGTAAGGATAGCATCAAAATCAAGATCAAAGATCGCTACACCAGCCCTGAGAAGCTCATCCCAGCGAGGGATCTCACTAGCCCCAGGGAACTGCTGACGCCAAGCGTCCGTCAGGCGGCCAAAGCAGCGCTGGGTGGCGTGGGCACCCCCACACTGCTCACCCGCGC